TAAAATTAAAATCCGGTTTTTTTGTTTTTTTTTTGTATATGAATGTTGCAGATTTACGATCAACTACATGAAAATAGTGACGTAAATTTCTACCTATCAGCTATCAAAATTCTTGCTGATCGACCAATAAAAACAACTCGACTTTAAATATCAATTACATAACAATAAAATGTTATGAACATTTCATTTACTCAACTTTTGAATTAGTATAATTTGATTCATATCTTTTGTTGTAAGAGTATCGTAAAGATCAAGAATTTACCAATTTTAATAAACATTTTCTATTCTATAGTAGAATTTATTTTCATATTACTATATAGTATAATCTTTATTTAATCAAGCATTTATTATTTGTTACTTTTGAAAATACATTAGTAAAAATATTACAGTATATGCTATTTTAACACTAGCAAGACCTCGGAATATTTTATAACTTACGTTCATTCATTTTCTATTTAGGATATTTAAAAATAATCTGCCGTATTATCATTATTCTAAAGTAATTTTTTTATCATACCTAATGTAGTATATTGATATGTAATAAACTTAAAATTCACATGATTTGTCTATCTATACTACAAAGAGAATCGCAATAGATAAGATGAAACAATACATTAAAATAAAATCAATCGCATATAATTGGAAACTATTTTATAAATCTTAAAAAAGGTCTTTACGATATTTCTGGTTTAATCGCAACTGCGTCGCGCAGTTACCCCAATATTTTTTATTCTGCTTATAAAGTTTTATAATCATTAATATTAACATAAACCAATTATAGTATGAGAATTAGAAGACGCAGTTCTGGTGTTACAAATAGGGAGCAATAATAATAAGTGAGTTGTACGAATGTATGTACCAGTAAGCAAAACTGATTCTAGAATAGAACTAGTCCGAATGACTAGTTACACGAACATATATGCCAGAATGAGAGAAGATGGTTAAAACTAACAAAAACCAGTAGTTCACCCTAATATGGTAGGTTTCGAAAGGCTCGGACCGAATCATTGGGGTTATGACAATTAGAGCTCAGGATTACGTCACGGGCCTATACAATTATACAAATTAAGATTTTTATTAACTAAATGGGGAATTATTAGTGCGCAGCACTTTTCGTTTTGGAATGTTGAACTATAATGGAATTATTTTTATTCCAGATGGAAAATTCACACTATATATAACTTTTTAATAAATTTCAATAAGTTTTCAATAGTTTTCAATAATTTTCAATACATAGAAAGAAATCCAACACTTTCGTGATTCATGAATTCACGACATTTTTACGGATACAAGGAATTCTTGGAATTCGTATATGTCAAGAACCGCAGTATATTCTTGGGGTAGATCTTCCCTTTTAAAACGTGTAATATGTACCAAAAATTTGTTGGCATATTTTGTCCAACGTCCGGTCCAAACACCCAAGGATGTTCATTTTAAGAAATGAAAATAAGGTATCTTTAGTGTAATGGCACAATGCTATCCAGTGATAACATTGATATACTGTATGTAAAAAAGATCATTCTTAATTATGATTAATTACGAGAGCAAAAAGAAAAGATGAGTACGTACGTACATAACAGAAAGTGTTAGGTATGTAGTATGTAAGTACATAGTATGTATATGTATGAAAATCGTACAATACCAAAGTGTATGTTTCAATAAATATAAAAAGCTTTACGTATTACGTATCAGTATTAAAAACGTATATTTTACACTATACCAAAAAAGACCGATCACTCTGTTATCTATATATGGATGGGTTCCAAATCAGGATTCTAATAAAAAAGAACAAGCTTCAAGCAGAATATGGCAATTTATTACGTAACGGTAAAGATACATACGCCAAAGTACAGCAACAAAGTACAACAGTAGACAAATTTAGTAAAATGACAGTCTTAATAGCTCTTTAACGCGAACCTTATGAAACAAAAGAAATTAAAGCATATGTACATACGTAGAAAAATTTATGCACAAATGGAAATCTTCAGTAAGGAGGCGCTACAATATTTTCAGTATTTTCGCGGTTTACAACAATAATAACAATAAAGATAATAAATAAAGATAATAATAAAGATAATAATAAAGATAATAAAGAATGAAAACAGTAATGAAAGAAATAACAGGAGATCCACTTTCTGCATATTGAATCTTGATAAAGAAAGAGATTTGATAACAACCTAAAAAGTCGTAATGAAATTCTTTAATTAAAACGTGTTACTAACAATCGCTGCGGATTTATTTTAATAGTTTTCAAGATGCAGTTTTAAGAGATTATTTTTCACATGATTGTCATTACTATTTATCATTACTATTATCGTTTAATATTATATAATAATTCCCAATTACTAATATCATTGTTAAATATATCTTTTCATTTGTCATGGGACTAACATTTTAGACAATAGCATCGGTAAATTTCATATTGTAAACACGGGAAGATTTATAGCAGTTAAATTTGTCGCTATTTATATATATTTAATATAATGTTTAATATAATATTTAATATAACATTTAATATAATATACGTATAATTTTTAACTATAATTTTAACTATCTTTGAGTAATAAATAAATGCGTCTTATTTTAACAAATAAATGCGTTTTAACTTTAACTTTTTAACAAATAAAGAACTTTTTAAACTATCCAATTTTAGCTGCATCAAAGTAATACCGGTTTTTAAGATTTCCAAGGTTCCAAGACTTGGGTTGTCATAAACAATATCGATATACGTATACATTTTAATTTTGATTAACTTGAGCCTTTTTTAGTCATTTTGTAACTTTTTTGTCTTGAGTTATTGTACCTACGTAAGTACATACGTACCTACGTACGTATGTACTTACGTATTTATTTTGATATGTTCTCGTTCATTCTACAGTAAGTTTAACAGTATGTTTAACAGTATGTTTATAACAGTATGTTTAACAGTATGTTTATAACAGTATATTAACAGTATGTTTAACAGTATATTTAACACAGTATGTTTAATAGTATATTTAACACAGTATGTTTAATAGTATATTTAACAGTATATTTAACAGTATGTTTTACAGTACGTTTAATAGTATGTTTTAATAGTATGTTTAATAATATGTAAACTGACATGACACCTAATCCTGGCTATGTTGATATTTTAACACGTATGCATAAATATAAATTTATAGTATTAATAGTATTGGTACGTATGTATATTTAATTTATGAACAATGAATGATAGTCTTGTCATTGTATTAATTTATAAATTAGGTAAGCAGTTGAAGGAATATTTGTTTTTTTGATGGGGTTTAGTTAGCGTTAGAAATGCTCACACAAAGGTCGGATGTTAAAAAACAAATTGTGGGGAATTATCCTGAAGAAGTTTCGCATAGAATTGATTGCATGTAAGTCATGTAACTCAATGAGGAATTTCTGCCACGTTTTTTGATAGTTATAAACTATCTAAAATATTAAAAATTTGGCATTTAATCTTTGGTTCTTTTTCTTTTTTTTTTTTTTTATTGGGTTTTAATATAGATTTAATTACAATAATGACGTTTTATTTTGCCGCAGAAAAATGTGCCCAGACCATCTTGGGTCCACGAAGATTTCGCAGTTTTCTAATATTGATAACGATAAACAGTAAATCATTATGAGTCAGCTTAATTTAGTAAAGTTCTATGGCACTTTTATCGTTGCTATAGATTAAAAAAATCCATCCTAGAATCAATTTATGGAATTAATATAACGATAATGAGTAAACAAAAAAGAAAAAATGTAAGTAATTTTATAAAGATAAATTAATTATATACATACATATATATTAGCGTTAGATATATATAATATATAAATAATATATATACAGTATATATAATAATATATATATAATATATATATAATATATATATAATATATATGATTATATTACGTATAACAGATAATAATAAATTATAATCTTAACGCTAAGAATAACGGGCCAACTCTATGACAGTTTAATGCAGTGAAAATCAAATTACAGTTTAAAAAAAACTTGGCGGTAAAATTTATTAGCCTATAAATTGTATCACATAATAACGAATAAGCATATTGGCATATTAGTGTGTGACGATATTTACAAACCACGCGAGAATTTCATTGTTTCTAACCATTCATTAGCCTTAATTTCTTTGTTCCAAATAAAAGAATAAGGTCATCAGTTGATCGCTGAAGACTTGTATTTTTTTTTCTAAACAAATGATTGGGATTGGGGAATGATTTGGGGGTGATTGTGGAATAATCAGTGGAATAATCGGGGGAATAATCGGGAATTGATTGAGGATTGATTGGGGATTGACTTAGGAATGACTTGGGAATTACTTGGAAGAATGTTAAAAGACATAATTTAACATTTCAGACATTTCAGGTATTTTTCAGACATTTCAAACATTTTAGACATTTCAGAAGTTTGCTGCGTATAATAGGTAAAAGATTAAAATAATCGGGCTGCTTTCTATTATGGTTCTTTTGCCGATTATATATCATAATTAGAAGCAGAGAGTCTCAAAATGTTTAAAGATGCTTCTTTAATTGCAACACGGAAAAGATCTTCCGATTACGTTTTAGCTAAAATTACATCATTAAGAATCTCGGAACATCTTTTAAAATACCTTCAAATTTAAAAAATATTTACTTGTTAAAAATTTTATTATTATTGTTAAATATTAAATTCTGGACTTTCATTAAAGACCTATTTGCAAAAAAAAAAAATATATACTAAAAAAAATAAAATAAAAATAAAAAAAATTTATCGTGTACGTACGTAAATTATTGTCGATCTAGAAGTTCTGCTATGTTTTTTTCATTATGCATTGTCATACTATAAAATGCTGAATTCCCTTCTTTTGGTTATATGTAACATCAAGGATTGCCAAGTAAGAAAAACTTTATCATTGGCGCAGGACCTTGATATAAGTATAAATAGGATTTGATTCACCTAAGTTGTAAAAAGTAAATTTTTGTACGTACGTTGGCTGCGCCGCGTTTTCATGTCAACCAAAAGCAACCTGCAGTATGGTATTGCGGCGGCCTTAGGTGGAGACGAAAACACACTCAATATTCAACAGACGAGCGGTAGAATTCCCTCTCTTAATCTTCCTTTTCCTCCAACTAACCAGGCTCAGGATTTGGCCTTGAATTTATTACGCTCTAATAAGGGAACTTCTCCCCTAGATGCTTTTAATATTTATCGGAAATTATTTCTTGAACACTTAGAATCTCAAGGAGTACAGTTATCTGACCCATCCTCTTTCATATTGGATGCTTGGTCTAGAGAATCTTTAAAAGTCAAAGACTATTATTCAACGGTGGAAAATTTGTGGTATAAAGCCTTGAATGAGACATTTAACTCAGTCATGTCTCCGGTAGACTTACAACCAAATTCGGATGAATCATTTATGACCTTTTCTATTCAAGATGGAAATGGTTATGATTTTGATTTATTTCACTCAAGTAGCTCTCAATCAGGTAATTAGAACCTTTTTAAATTTTTTTTTTTTTAAAAATATATATATATATATATATCATTTTAATACATCTTTTTTAACCTTCAAAATTATTATACCTTCAATTTATACTCATAATTTAGTTGGTCCTCCTACTCCAATGTCCATTACCAACAGCCCTTTTGTCTCATCTAACCTTTCCAATTCTGAAAATGATGCCAATGGACCCTCTTTCTTCCCGGCTCTTTCTCATATACAACGAAGGCCATCGCACCCAGAAGAACCTTCAGATGATGGACATTCCAACGAATTTGGTTTCTCACTTTTCTAATTAAAGAATGCGAAAAGAAAAAAAAGAGAAAAAAAGAAAAAAAAAGAAAAAAAAAAAAAAAATTCATAATATTATTTTGAGTTTTATAATGAGTCAACGGTGATACTCCTTCGGGATTTTCGATAAACGTGCGCAGTTAAAACCACCAGCGATCATGCGTTTACATACCTTTTCGGTTACGATCGTGGACCATTAAAAAAAAAAAAAGTCCCAATGATAAAATCCAAAAGATATAATTGTGAGACCGAAACAGAATTATACCCAAAGATATATAATTGTGAGAATTATACCAAAAGATATTATGGGAACTTGAATTTATGTGAGACGAAATTTTTTAAAAAAAAATAATGCAAGGTGTGGTTCGTTACCTCTTGCCACGTAGAAAACAATATTGGGACGATTAATTTATTTTCTATAAAATTGTATAAGTTATGTAAGCTTTTTATGCAAATTAATGTACGTACACTATGATTCTTATTATGGTTATTATTATGAAATATATATTCGCTCCTTTATATATATTTGATTTATTATATATATATATATTTATAATCCGTCGTCGTCGTATTTTGCTTGATTGTTGGTTGTTGTTTTTTTTTTTTGAAAAAAAGTTTTGATTCGAAAAGAGTTATGAATTTCGATATAGCGATAGTATATTAACATTATGACAAACAAAAAAGCGATCCCGTTCGAAGATCATCTATTACCTTAAATTTTTACTTTAACATAGACTTTAACATAGAATGTGGTGGGGGGTTACACTTTGAACAAAGTTGAAAAAAGTTGAACGAAGTTGAACGGAAGGGTACACGCGGTTCCACATGCATAAACCAACATGGATCGAAACTATGAATTATTATTGTTGTTATTATTCTTATTTATTATTATGAACTATTATTATCATTTTATTATTTTTTTTTTATGTAATTAAGATATATAAATAAATGCGCTTTAAAGTTATATTAGATCAAGTACGTACTTGTTTGCAAATGTTCTTTGGCCACTTGGCAAGAAATGTCAAATAAATAAGGAATACAAATATTTATTGCGTATCTATAAATAAAGAACCGGTCTGATTTTCTTTAGTTTCTTGTTTGTTTCACCATTACATATTATTACTATTATTGTTAAGGTAAAAAGAAAATCGTCACGAGACATTCAAAAGACGTAGTTTCTATCAAGGAATTTTTTTTTCCAAGAATTCTTTTATTTTTGTCAATGATAATTTTTGGTAGTATTGAATAGAATAGTTTACTCACATGAATTCATTAAATTTATTCAATAGGATGCACAAAAAAAAATTGTTTCTCATCTGCTTTTTTTTAAATTGTATTTTGATACTTTATTTTGATATTTTATTTTGATACATTTTTTTACGTATTATGACACAGTATATCTTATTTTGATTTGATTTTGATACTTTATTTTGATCTTTATTTTGTATAATTTTATTCGATTTAAAATTTTATGACATAAACGAAAAAATCTGGTTTTCTCCACAAAGGCAGTAGGTAGTATGACGAATATGTCGTGCACAGTAAATAGAATGTATGAACTCATTATTTTCAATGAGAGGTAACAGAAACATAAAAAGTAAAGTCTCATTTTAACTTTCAAAAGCGTCCTAGATGTTTTTCTTATGTATAACCTTAAACCCGTGATAAAAACTAAAAATTTGTATGATCATCGATCTCTTCGGTTTTATTCGGTTTTTTTTTTTAAAATAATAATAAAATATAATAACCGGATTTTTTTATCTGACTTATTCTGACTTATTCTATTCTGATTTATCGTTATTCTAACTGGTTCTATTCTGACTGGTACTATATAGTTATTGACTGGCGCTATACCGTTATTGTTTGGCGTTTTTTTTTTTCTATCAGTTTATCAGTTTTTATCAGTTTCAGGGTTATGCGCATATATTAACAAAATATTATGTTAAAAAAGAATGTTCATTATTGTCCATATATTTAACATACGTACATACTTACCTTTATTATATGCAAAGTTTCTCATTGACTTTTCGTATATCTGTATATGTTAGTATGATTTTCTTCAATGAGAAGCCAATCAAATTAATGTTTCAATGACGATTTAATCTTCATATTTACTATTAGTATTGTATTAGTATTATAATTTCTTATTACGTACCTATAAATACGACTTGAGTTCACTATAATTTGCTTGATGAATCTTTTACTTTTTTCAATAAACCTTTCCTTTTCCTTCTTCTTCTTCTCCTCCTTCCCTTCTTCTTTTTCTTCTTCTTTTTCTTCTTGTTTCTTTAGTGATGGAAATACTTACTCCAGCGAAAAAAGTTTTACTTACTCCTGATATTTTATACGGTATTTCTTCTTATTTTGACCGTCAAGATGACCTCCTAAGATGTGTCTTTGTACATCCTATGTGGGCGATAGTATGTTTATTATTTATCTATATATAATCATCTCTTTGGTATCTTTATATTTCCTCTTTATATAAAAATTATATATATATCTATATATATATATATTTCATTTATTCATTTTTTTTTTATGGATCTCTTATAATGTAATTCTTTTACATACATTTATATTAAAAAAAAAAAAAGGTCTTTGTTAGGCAATTATGGAAAGCTCCCATATGGAAAACTAAAGAATCTGTCTGTCTCTTTTTACGTACTCTTCGAAAAGTAAAATCTTTCTTTTTATACGGTCATATGGTCCATAGAATCGTATTTAAAATTTTCAGGTCTTATGATACCACTTCTGCTTTTACCGCTAATGATCTTAGAGTGATTTCTCGAAAGTGTCCTAATTTGAGGCATCTTACCTTTGCAACTACGGCTCCACCTTTCTCCCATTCAAATGTAGAACTTCTTTTAAATTCTGCTCCTAACTTAATCACTTTCTCTGTACTTGATTGTGATAGTCAATGGTTAGAAGGTGCGCTTACGCCGTTACGCCAAGGTCGATGCCCTAAATTACAGCATTTAGAGATAAATGACTGTAATAGGTCTTGGTCTTTTAATGTTCTTAGAGATATTGGTGAAAGTTGTCCTTCTATTATTTCTTTGAAATTATATCAACGTGTAAACTCTTTACAATTAGCAAAGTTGATCGTTAACTCTTTCCCAAATCTTCAAACTTTCGAATGTAAATATATTAATGAAGCTGGATTACAAGGTCTCATCATTGGTTTACATAATCTTAAATCTTTAAGTGCTCAATTCGAAAATGATATTCAAGTTTCTGAATCTTTGGCTCCTAAATTCGCTAAATTGGAAGCTCTCAGGATAAGAGCTATTCATGTTCAAGATCATAATCCTCTTTTCTCTGTAGCTTTTTCTCAACATCAACCTTGTCTTAGACAATTATATTTAGCTACTTTACATATAACTGATAAAACTATCAAGATGATCGCTATGAATTGTCATCATTTAGAATCTATAGAATTATTCATGTGTTTTTATTTAACAGATGTGGCAATTTCAACTATAGCTCAATATCGTGGAAAAAAACTTAAACATTTAATGTTAGCTTATAATGCTTATATTACTGATACTGGAATAAATCAAATAGCTACTCATTGTACTGAATTAAAATCTGTTGTCATCATATCTTGTGCAAGGTTGACTAATGTTGCTTTCAATAACATAGCTAGAGAATGTAAAGGTCTTATTGAAGTTACCGTAAGGCATGATTCTTGTCAAATGTTGGCTTCTATTGTTCATACTTTGGCAACTAGAAATAAAGGAACATTAAAAGTTTTGAAAGCTTATGATGTTAGCACTAAAGAAGTTGATAAAAGATCAAAATATAAAGCTGATGTAAATGTTTTAGAAAGACTTGCTATACGATGTCCTCAACTAAGAACTTTGGTGCTCAAATGTTGTATTCAAGAAAAAGATCCAACTGTAGGTTTTTATATATAATTTATTACTTTCTTTTATATTTTTCTCGTATATGTATACTTATGTATAACTAATTTTTTTTTAACTAATTTATTTTATTTATTTTATTTTATTTATTATTTTATTTATGTTATTTTATTTAGCAACTTATTAAAACAATTCACAAATTTAAAAATCTTGAAGAATTACAAATATCCACATCTATGAAATTCTCATCTTCACATATAAAACAATTAGAAAAACACAGGAGATTAAAATATGTAACAATTATTCATGGACCTCTTTTAAATGCAAGATCTCGTATTCAAGAATCTAGACTTGAATCAACTGTTGGGATGAATATTACTTTACTTACACCGGTAATTGATAATTATTTTTACTTTTTAATTAATGAGATGACGCTTTTTTCTGATCATTTTTAATAATTATTTCTATAGATGATTTATAATGTAAATGGTTAAAAAAAAAAAAAAACACCAAACCAAACCAAAAAAAAACAATTGTAATTAAATAGTGTGTAGAGAAACGGTGTATATAGATTTATTGGTAAAAAAAAATTTTTTTTCGTAAAAAAAGTAAGGTATTGTAAAAAAAAAAAAAAGTAAAAATTAATAAATAAAAATAAATATATAAAAATTATTATTATTATTATTTTAAAGTTTAATTAATGTATCTCGTAGAAATTCACTTAGTAATCGTTGAAATACGTATAAAGTAACCTCTTAATGAACGAAGATAGATATGATCGTTGAAATTCGTTGGTAAAATTCATCAATCGAGATTAATTTGTTAAATTATGAGTAGTCAATAAAAATTTTGGTCAGTGAAAACGGTCCAATTTTTTTATTAATAATAAAAATAAATTCTTTAAATGTTTTGGTAACTCATTCCTATTTGTAGAAATTATTTTAATCTTACCGTAAAGAATGAATGTAAAAATTTGAAGTTTCGGATTCATTGTATAATAGCTTCTTTTACCAAAAAAAGTTCACAATTTGTACAACATTTACGAAACTTTTACAAAGAAATTTTTGCTTCAGAAAAATTTATAAAGAATTTTATTAAAGTTAGAATAGCTTTAGCCTTATGCACAAACTTGTTCACGAGTGTCCGGAGTTATAACAAATTGCACATGAACTTAGTATGATTCTTTTTTGATCACTCATTGTCATCATAAATATGTAAGAAGCAGAAAATTGTCAGGTTTGATAAACAAGAATCATGCAAAATTTAGCTAGAATAGATGTCTTTCTTTTGATGCATTGGTCAAAATTTTTGATTGAAGATTTATTAATCTATATAATATGGGATAATTTTTTCATTCCGCCGTATATTAATTGTTGTTATGTAGTACCGTAACGCGTGTATTGATAAACATTACACATGCATATTACACATGCAACGTACTTACTTATGTACGTTGCTTCTCTTTCGGAAGGAGACTTTTTTTGAAAATACTATGTATTATAACAAAACTGTTATTTTATATGAATGTATTCAAATTATTAAACTTTTAATTGCTAATAATGTATGAAAAAAAGTAAAAAAACATTGTTTTAAATTCTTTAAAATATTGTTTGGAACAAGTTCAAATTTCTTCCGAATTTACAAATTTCCGAATTTCTGAAATTTTTTTAAAAGAAAAATTCTCAAAAGTCTTTCACTAGTCATAATTACTTTATTTACCTATAAATTTTTTTTAAATAATATTAATGTATTTTAATGTTTTATCAAATTTCAATACACTCCTTTTGTCTATTTTATTTTTCCTTTTACAACCTTTTTTAGTTTATTCTAAAGGAGGAGGAGGTGATGGTCCTTCCTCTTCATCATCTGGTTCATATAGTAGTGGTTCAAGTTCCAGTTCAAATTCTTATACAACATCGTTATGGGTCTTTTGGTATTATGATGATGGAGGTAGAAGGTGTGGAAATTATTGCATCGTTATGTTTTCTATCGTTGGATTTTTAATTTTATGTAGGTACATTTGGACTCCGATAGATCTAAGTCATATATATTTTCTAATAACTATGCATTATTATTTTTATCATTATCATTATTATTATTATTATTATTATTATTGCTAAAATTGGATTCATATTTGTAGGTATTATTGCATGTGGGATTTGGAGATGTTATATGATAAGAAAATTTTATAGAGATGATCGTATATATAATACTGATACTGAAACAGCATTTGATGATTATATGCGTGAAAATGAAATTCCATCAAATAATCATAGTAGAAATCAAACAGAATCGCAATATCCTTCATTAGATGATCCACCACCAGCTTACGATACAACTTATGGTGCTGAAAGAAATTTACATGCTTTAAGGCATAATGCCTCTTATGATGCATATAAAGCTGGTAGACAATTTTCCCGAGATAATCCTCCTCATGAAATCTTACCACCAAGAGAACATATTGTGTACATTATATTAAATGGAGGTCCTAAAGCTTGGAAAATGGTAATATATGGTAGTAACGCTAATGACCTTGTAAGTGTATCAAATAGAGGGCGTACTGTAACATTCCATGGAAAAAATGATACAATGGTACAAGCAAATTATCCGCTTTTCAGACCACAGCATAATAATGATGATTCCTCACAACTAAATTCAAACATAGTAACTTCAGCAATTTCGAATAATATAGCACCTCCATCAGATTTACCTCCAGATTATGAACAAAGTTCATCTGAAAAATCTATTTCATCATCATCAAATTGGAATCAGGATTCAGGACCTTGGTTTTATTATTTTGAAATAACAATAATATCAAATTCTAACAAACGAGATTCAACTATAGCTATTGGATTAACTACTAAACCATATCCCAGTGAGCCTTATTTTAACCGTTAATTATTATTATTATTATATTTAAATATCTTCTAAACCGTCATGCTATTTCCTATCTTGTAGGCTTTAGGTATTATTAAAAAAAAAAAAGAATTCTTGAAATTCTTTGTGTTTTTAAGGATAGTTCAGGGTATTTATTATACATTATTTTTTCTTTTTCCCCCCTTACTTTTCTTTTTTAATATAATAGATTACCAGGGTGGAATAAACATTCTGTTGGATATCATTCAGATGATGGATGCAAATTCTATAATGATGGTTTGGGAGGTCGAAATTATGGTGAAAGGTGGGGTGATGTTGGTGACACGATTGGTAAATACATTCAAAAATCAAATAAATAAGTAATATATATATATAGTTTATTTACTTTATTTTATAACAATGTATATTGATAATTATCATATATTTTACTTCATAGGATGTGGTTACTACCCTGATACAGGCATAGTATTCTTTACAAAAAATGGAAAATCCCAAGGTAATGCTTTTTCAGGATTAAAACACATCTGGTTCCCAACCGTTGGAGCTGATAATAAATGTAAAGTTGAAGTTAACTTTGGTGATGGAGAAAATGAATTTCGATATGTAGAAGCCAGAGGAATGTGTGTTTCAGGGCCAAGGATATTACCTCCTAATGGATAGTTATTTTATATACCGTGAAAGATCATATACAAGATCTAGATTTGTTACATTCCACCAATCTTAAAAAATAAACCTATTCTAAACCCAGAGCATAGTACACGATCGAGCGTGCACGTTTGTATTGTAGAATGAAAAAATTTTTAAAGTGCATACACATTTTGATTAATAGAGTTGTATGTGGATCTACTATCAAAGGGGACTCTATATATGATCTTTTGCGGTAGCCTTTTTTTTTTTTAATATATATGTATATATGTATTTTATGTTTTATTTTTTGAAAATTTCAATTATTATACGAATCATTTTGCATACCTAGCTAATATTTCGAAATGTAATTATTATCAATTCATTATAATATTCCAATCATTTAGTATTCAATCATTTTACAAATTCGTAGGTTCGAATCCAGGCATCCATTAAATTTTAGATACACAAATGAATAGCCTAACATATTCGGGCCTGGTTTAATATCATTCATTCAAATGATTTTATAACTAGTTATTATTTTAATGCAAAACATATTATTGTCATTTTTATCACTATAATATTACGTTTTACATGCAGATGGACTTAATCATATGCACACATATATTAATAATTGAACTTATTATGCTAAAGTTTTAAACATGTCGATGTAATTGAACTTATGATGTCAAAGTTTTTTAAAAGTAATTATTTCTTGGCGTTACTCCAATCTTATGCAATACTAGATATACAGATGCAGTTAATACATCTGTGTTTAGATGTGATCAGTGATGTGCCTTCTCGCAAAATGATTACATCATTTTTACATTCGTTTTGTAAGGTAAGGTTTGATAAATAATAAAATCATTGCAATTGGTAGATTTTTTATTGCAATCTACTAAATTAAAATTTTATGATCATGTAAGTCGCGCGATGTATGAGATATATGCTAGGTTTACCTCACGCGAGGCAAATTTCTAGGTATGATACAAATTCTCAATCGTAGTTGAATATTTACCATTCTACATTTATAATGATACAATTTAATTATATACTATCAAAGAAAATATCACATAAGTCGTTAAACATTAACGCGATATATAAAGAATATTAGAAAGCGTATATTTTTCTTTTCTCCATTGTTCTTTGCTTTTCTTTTATTGTTCGAATTAAACTCATCAATATCATTAACCTTTAACTTATGAAATGGAGGTTCATTGATATTTGAGAAGATAAAAAATTAATCACGTTCGACAATAATCTGGATTTTCAATTTCAACTTGAAAGTCAGTTAAAATTCATATGGTTGACGAAATGACTATGAAAAAAGGGGCTGAACCTACGTCAGACGCCCTCTTCTCATGAGTAGTGGTTGTTTTTCTTAGCAGTTGATTTTGATCTCATCTAATTGAGTTTACAACACTAATATTAAGTTTTAAATTAAATATATAGATTTTGCAAAATAGAGTAGAATGGTTGCAATCTTTTAAATGTCCAGCCCCAAAGTTTGACAAACAAAAAAAATCCCAACTTAAATGACGAAATATAAAAAAATAAATAAATATTTATTGGCAGTAAAACACCCTATAGATCAACTTAATTGATTTTTCTATAGATGTCTCCATATAACAACATATAATAAATTAACTAAAATATATACTTCTAACTTTCAAGTTCTAGGACAATCAACCTCCTCGATAACATCCCATATTTCCCTAATTAACCTTAATTGACTTTGCTTAGAATTTTCATCGCCATCGCAAGGTGACCCACCTCTAATTGCTAAATATTTACGACCAAAAATGTCAACTGGTCCTTCATCGTACCCTTGAGCATTTACCATCATACCACCCGATTCATTAAGAATTACGAGAGCTGCTGTCACATCCCTTTATTAAAAAAAAAAAAAAAAAAAAAAAAAAAAAAAAAAAAAAAAAAAAAAAAAAAAAAAAAAAAAAAAAACAAAAAAAACAAAAAAAAAAAAAAAAAAAAAAAAAAAAAAAAAAAAAAAAAAAAAAAAAAAAAAAAAAAAAAAAAAAA